GGGTTGGGATATAGGTTGCCCCCCTCTATACCCATGCCATTCCCAGGCTATTCCCAGGCCATTCCCAGGCTATTCCCCTCTTCTCCCCGTAGCTGCTCACTTGCGGCCACTCACCAGCAGGCAGTCCGTGTTGACCTCGGACTTGGGGTCCCGGAGCATCACATCGATTTTGGCGAAGCGGGACTCGAAGCTCTCCCCGGTAGACATGCTGGCACTCCGCTCCCGGTCTCCCGCTGCAGTGGATACAGTGCTCCGCTCCCGGCGGGGGAGGTGGGCGCTCGGTCCGCAGTGGCCGGGTCTCGGTGGGTGCGGGTCTATGCCGGTCTCTCTCGGTGGCCGGCGATGCAGAGCTCCCTGTGGCCCCTCACCCCCGCTTCAGGGCCGGGCTGTGCGGTGTGACGGGCCCCGGCATCCTCCTCCTGCCCCCGGGCCTCCGGACACATACACCCAGGCCGGGGCCTGTCCTGCCCGCGGGCCGGCCGGTGACAGGGGGGGCCGGCTGACAGCTCCGGGTACCGAGCGCCCTCCCTCCCCCCGGTGTGGCGATATTTCCCGGCTCGGGGCCCGCCGCTCTGTGCTCCCCGTGCTCCCGCAGGCCGCGCCTTCAACCCCGGCTACACCGCCTCCAGCCCAGGCTGTCAGTAATGGTATGGCGGCTCCGCCTGGCTGCTAGCCCTCCACCAACATGTCCGCCTTCCTGTTCAAACAGACAGGGCGGCTGGGAGGAGGAGGGAGGGCCGCGCAGGCGCCGAGCTCGCCGGCCGGGGAGGGAGGGAGGGAGGAGCTGCGGGGAGCTGGGCGCAGACTACCGGCCGCCTCAAATCTCAGAGCGCACAGACCGCGGGAGAGGAAACCTGGCAACCAGAGAGACAGCTCCATCTCAATCAACCAGAGAGACAGTCAGAGAGACTGCTCCTTCTCAATCAATCAGAGAGACAGTCAGAGAGACTGCTCCTTCTCAATCAATCAGAGAGACAGTCAGAGAGACAGCTCCATCTCAATCAACCAGAGAGACAGTCAGAGAGACAGCTCCATCTCAATCAACCAGAGAGACAGTCAGAGAGACAGCTCCATCTCAATCAACCAGAGAGACAGCTCCATCTCAATCAACCAGAGAGACAGTCAGAGAGACAGCTCCTTCTCAATCAACCAGAGAGACAGTCAGAGAGACAGCTCCTTCTCAATCAACCAGAGAGACAGCTCCATCTCAATCAACCAGAGAGACAGTCAGAGAGACAGCTCCATCTCAATCAACCAGAGAGACAGTCAGAAAGACAGCTCCATCTCTATCAATAAGAGAGACAGTCAGAGGGACTGCTCCATCTCAATCAGAGGGACTGCTCCATCTCAATCAGAGAGACAGCTCCATCTCCAATCAGAGACAGCTCCATCTCCAATCAGAGAGACAGTCAGAGGGACTGCTCCATCTCCAATCAGAGGGACTGCTCCATCTCCAATCAGAGGGACTGCTCCATCTCCAATCAGAGGGACTGCTCCATCTCCAATCAGAGGGGCTGCTCCATCTCCAATCAGAGAGACTGCTCCATCTCCAATCAGAAAGACAGCTCCATCTCCAATCAGAGAGACAGCTCCATCTCCAATCAGAGAGACGGCGCCATCTCAATAATTGCACAGCATTGACAGGGGAGTGTATGGTGAGCTCACTGGATAGGCAGCAAATCACACCAGTCTCAACCTGCCACACTGCCTCTATGTCCTCCAAGCTAACTCAATCAGTCACACTAATCGCAGTCAAGTACACTACTGAACAATACTTCCTCACAGTTAGCCACAGAATCAATCACACTAATCTTAGCCAGCTACACTACGGAGCAATATTTCTTCACACCCAGCAACACAATCAATCACACTAATCTTAGCCAAGTACTCTACTGAACAGTAGCAATTAACGGTTAATTTCCCACACTTGTGGCTTTTTAAATTGCAATTAGTGTCTGTGTATGAATAGTCAATGAGTTTGTTAGCTCTCACGTGGATGCACTGAACAGGCAAGATACTGAGCCATGGGGAACAGAAAAGAACTGTCAAAAGAACTACGTAACAAGGTAATGGAACTTTATAAAGATGGAAAAGGATATAAAAAGATATCCAAAGCCTTGAAAATGCCAGTAAGTACTGTTCAATCACTTATTAAGAAGTGGAAAATTCAGGGATCTCTTGATACCAAGCCAAGGTCAGGTCGACCAAGAAAGATATCAGCCACAACTGCCAGAAGAATTGTTCGGGATACAAAAGAAAACCCACAGGTAACCTCAGGAGAAATTCAGGCTGACTTGAAAAAAGATGGTGTGGTTGTTTCAAGGAGCACAATACGGCGATGCTTGAACAAAAATGAGTTGCATGGTCGAGTTGCCAGAAAGTAGCCTTTACTGCACCAATGCCACAAAAAAATCCCAGTTACAATATGCCCAACAACACCTTGACATGCCTCACACTGTAACTTGGAGTGACTAGACCAAAAAAAGAGCTTTATGGTCACAACCATAAGCGCTATGTTTGGAGAGGGGTCAACAAGGCCCATAGTGAAAAGAATACCATCCCCACTGCTAACTCAATCAGCACTGTGGTGGCTCACTGATGTTTTGGGGGGTGGGGGGTATGAGCTCTAAACACACAGGGAATCTTGTGAAAATTGATGACAAGATGACTGTAGCATGCAGAAAATACTGGCAGACAATTTGCATTCTTCTGCACAAAGGCTTCGCATGGGATGCTCTGGGAATAACAATGACCCTAAGCACAAGGCCAAGTTGACCCTCCAGTGGTTACAGTAGAAAAAAAGGTGAAGGTTCTGGAGTGGCCATCACGGTCTCCTGACCTTAATATCGTTGACCCAGTCTGGGGAGATCTCAAACGTGCGGTTCATGCAAGACGACCAAAGACTTTGTATGACCTGGAGGCATTTTGCCAAGATGAATGGTCAGCTATACCACCTGTAAGAATTAGGGGCCTCATAGACAACTATTACAAAAGACTGCAGGCTGTCATTGATGCTAAAGGGGTCAATACACAGTGTTAAGAACTAAGAGTGGGCAGACTTTTAAACGGGTCATTTCATTTTTTTCTTTGCTGCCATGTTGTGTTTTATGATTGTGCCATTCTGTTATAACCTTCAGTTGAATATGAATCCCATAATACCGTGTTTCCCCGAAAATAAACCCTACCCCGAAAATAAGCCCTAGTCGGATTTTCGGGGTGGGCTGCAATATAAGCCCTACCCCGAAAATAAGACCTAGGCATTTTACCTTTTCGGCGAGACTTCCTTCTTCTACTGTAGGAGGAGCGTTGCGGGCCGCGGCATCGCGCAACGTGATGACGACATTTTGCAGCGCCGTCAGTCTGCCTTCACGGATCTTCAGCGGAAGGATCCATTTCCAGGCGGTGAGGCTCCCAGTGGTCGGACTCGGCAAGGAAACTTTGAAATGTGAGTACCGGTAGATATTTTATGTCTGGGACTGAATTAATTAAAGGGGGTGGGGGGTGAATTAATTAAAGGGGGGTGAATTAAAGGGTGGGCTGGATTAATTAGAGGGGGGTGAATTAATTAAAGGGGGGTGAATTAATTAAGGGGCTGGATTAATTAATTAGAGGGGGCTGGATTAATTAGAGGGGGTGAATTAATTAAAGGGGTGGTGAATTAATTAAAGGGTGGGCTGGATTAATTAGAGGGGGGTGAATTAATTAAAGAGGGGTGAATTAATTAAAGAGGGGTGAATTAATTAAAGGGTGGACTGGATTAATTAGAGGGGGGTGAATTAATTAAAGGGGGGTGAATTAATTAAAGGGTGGGCTGGATTAATTAGAGGGGGTGAATTAATTAAAGGGGTGGTGAATTAATTAAAGGGTGGGCTGGATTAATTAGAGGGGGTGAATTAATTAAAGGGGTGGTGAATTAATTAAAGGGTGGACTGGATTAATTAGAGGGGGGTGAATTAATTAAAGGGGTGGTGAATTAATTAAAGGGTGGGCTGGATTAATTAGAGGGGGGTGAATTCATTAAAGGGGGTGAATTAATTAAAGGGGTGGTGAATTAATTAAAGGGTGGGCTGGATTAATTAGAGTGGGTGAATTAATTAAAGGGGTGGTGAATTAATTAAAGGGTGGGCTGGATTAATTAGAGGGGGGTGGATTAATTAGAGGGGGGTGGATTTATTAAAGGGGTGGATTAATTAAAGGGGGGGTTCAATGTACATACCGGTACCGTAAATAAATAAGCCCTACCCTGAAAATAAGCCCTAGTGTGTTTTTTGTGACTAAAATTAATATAAGACCCGGTCTTATTTTCGGAGAAACACGGTAAATAAAGTAAATGTGTTTTGCTTGCTCACTTATGTTTTCATTAAAAATGGTACATATATTACCAATTCTCCAAGGGTATGTATAGTGAATAATCAGTTGTGTATATAAACTAACTAGTCTTAGAGTTGGAGTGTAATACTGTAGTGTAATTTCTTCAGTATCACTAAACTTATGTATATTTTAAAATAAAAACATTTCTATAATTTGATATTTTTGCGTCTTTTGAATAAAATGCTATTTGTTTTTTTAACACATTTTTTTTTTTCTTCTCCTTTCTTAAACATTATGCTACCTGCCTGACTGCATAGTGCCAACTGTTAAACTGAAACTGGTGGTGAAATAATTGTCTATTTTTCTTCTTTTGCCTAGTGGAATTTCAACTAAGTCCACTTCGTTCAATTGAAAACACAACCTAAAAGGACACTATAGTCCCCAGAACAACTATAGCTTATTGCTTTTTTTTCTGGTGAGTAGAATCATTACCTTCAGGCTTTTTGCAGTACACGCTGTCTTTTCAGAGAAAATGCAGTATTTACTTTACAGCTTAGTGATACCTCCACTGGCCACTTCTCATTTGGCTACTAGAGGTACTTTCTGGGGCTGCGCTGCATACATTCAATCCCAGTGGGCTCCTCCAGCAGGCTGGTGCCCTAGGCGAATGCTTAGTTTGCCTAATGGTTGCGCCAGCCCTGGGTGTGGCTAGGGCTGCATAAACAAAGGGATTTAACTCCTAAATTGCAGAGCATTGAGCAGTGAGACTGCAGGGCCATGATCTATACACCAAAACCACTTAATTAAGCTAAAGTTGTTTTGGTGCTTACAATTTGTGTAGTGGCCATGGGGCTAGAAAGCTATGAGTGCATTCCATTGGTTTGACAACAAACTGAGGCTTAAGGGCCATTAGCAAAGTAGGGCATACATTCTGTATTCCAAAAATATTCAGTTATCCAGAGGTTTGACAAAAGCAGATTCCCTGACACCCAAAAACTCTACATCTCTAATTATTCATCCAAGTGTTAGTATGGTATGAGCAAGCTCTGTGCACAGAGTTTCTCAGGATGACTGTGCAGTGTCACAGCAGCATTTTGTCAAAGCCAAATTACCACCGACCCTTTCAACATGGTTGAGTCAATAGAAAGAATTCTTCATTATGACTTTTCATGTTTAGGAGGAGGGCTAAGGTTGCCTGGGAATTGTCTCTTTTTGTCAGACTGCTAGAAAACCTTTAGGAGAAACCCTTGGACTAAGATATTCCCATCATCAGCGTATCAGGACCTGCATGGTCAAGATAAGTTGCCCACGCCAGGTGAATTACACATGCCCTCTTAGGATTATGAAACAACTCTTCTACAAAGGGAAACATGAAAACTCTTGTGTAAATTAGACCACACTTCCTTGCAGTCCTCATGGCCTTCGCATAAGCAACTCCCAAATGGAGGCAAGGAATGTGTAAGTTATAGCGATTCTATACCTGGTTGCTTGGGCAATAAAGACCAGTGCAGACAGGGCCGTCTTTAACGCGGGGCAAACGGGGCAGCTGCCCTGGGCCCAGTTGCTCCTGAGGGGCCCCAGAACAGCTGCCTCGTGGGCCCCGCGATTTGAACTCCAATCTGCCTCAGCCTGCCCTGGCGGGGCAGCTGCAGGGAGCCACACCAGCCGCACACTAAGGAGGCCCCTGGGTGACCCATGCACTAAGGGCCACCCGGTGGGCAGGTGTCAGCAGGGGCCCGGTCGGGCGCTGTGACACTTAAACAGCGCGACCGGGCCCCTTCCTGTTCGGCAGCCGGCTGGGAGGAAGTGAGTGCCGCGCGTCACTTCCTCCCACCGGAGATCACAACCACGCGGGAGGAGAAAGGCAGGGAGGAGGGGAGTTCCAGAGGAGAACTCCCATCTGCCTCAGCCTGCCACTGGACCAGGGAAACCACCCTCCAGAAAAAGGTAAGAAACTGGAGGGTGGCTAAATGTATGTCTGTGTGTGTGTGTGTGTCTATGTCTGTCTGTGTGTGTGTGTCAGTATGTGTGTATGCATGTCTGTGAGTGTCAGTATGTCTCTGTGTGTCTGTCTGTCTGTGTGTGTGTCTATGTCTGTCTGTGTGTGTGTGTGTCTCTGTGTGTGTATGTCTGTGTGTGTGTGTCTGTATATGTCAGTATGCCTGTGTGTGTGTTTGTCAGTATGTCTGCCTGTGTGTGTGTGTCAGTATGTCTGTCTGTGTGTTTGTCAGTATGTCTGCCTGTGTGTCTGTGTCAGAATGCCTGTGTGTGTGTGTCAATAGGTCTGTCAGTGTATGCGTCTGTGTGTGTCAGTATATTTGTCAGTTTATGTGTCTGTGTATTCATGAATGTGTGTCTGTGTGTGTGTCAGTATGTCTGAATGTGTGTCAATATGTCTTCCAGTATATATTTGTGTGTCAGTGTATGTGTATATCAGTATGTATCTGAGAATGTTTTAATATGTCTGTCTGTGTGCGTATGTGTCAGTATGTCTGTCAGTGTGATTGCGGGTTGGGTGTAATTAGGGGGTTGGGGGGGAAGGAGCAGGGCCCAGGGGGCCCAAGAAAATGCATTGCCTAGGGTCCTAATCATATTATAGACGGCCCTGAGTGCAGATGTCAAAATATGCAGACAGTGGATCGCTGAGGAACTTCCACATATCATGTAGCTTTGCCCAGCCTGTCCTGCTATTCAAACTCCCACTCTGTGCAAGGCAGGCCCGGACTGGCCATCGGGCACACCGGGCAAATGCCCGGTGGGCCGCGGTGTCCGTGGGGCCGAGGCCGGCAGGGGAGGTCTCAGGATCTCCCCTGCCGGTCTATGCAGGGCCGGCACTATCCGAGCGCCGGCCCTGCTGTTTGCCACGACGGGCCGGTGGGGAGATCAAAGCTCTCCCTCACCGGCCCACATGCGGCCGCCGGCGGGGAGGGAGACAGGCAGCCAGCCAGGCTGGAGAGAGGACCCGGTGGAGCTCTAACTTGCGGCTCCGCCGGGTTCCTCTCGCGAGATCCGGCGCGTTGCTATGGCAACGACCGGATCTCGCGAGAGTGAACTCTAGCCTCACAGGGTTTTTTTTATTATTTACCCCCCCTACACACACACAATAACATTTATACAGCACTCACACACCCATCACACACAGCACTCTCTCACACAGCATCACACTCACAGCACTCTCACACTCACAGCACTCTCACAGAGCACTCTCTCACACAGCACTCTCACACACACACAGCACTCTCTCACACCCATCACACTCACAGCACTCTCACAGAGCACTCTCACAGAGCACACTCTCACACAGCACTCTCAAAGAGCACTCTCTCACAGAGCACTCTCTCACACAGCACTCTCTCACACAGCACTCTCACACACACCCATCACTCTCTCACACAGCACTCTCACACCCATCACACTCACAGCACTCTCTCACCCATCACACTCACAGCACTCTCTCACCCATCACTCTCACAGCACTCTCACACCCATCACACTCACAGCACTCTCACAGAGCACTCTCACACACAGCACTCTCTCACACACAGCACTCTCACACCCATCTCACACAGCATTCTCACATCCATCACTCACACACAGCACTCTCACACCCATCACTCACACACGGCACTCTCACACACACACGGTACTCTCACACACATCACACACACGGCACTCTCACACACACACCGCACTCTCACACACACACATACTGCACCCCCCACACACACACACACATACTGCACCCCTCACATACACACAGAACCCCCCCAACACACTGCACCACACACATACACAATACTTCCAAATATATACACACACACACACACACACACACTACACTCTTAAAGGACCACTCTAGCCACCCAGACCACTTCAGCTTAATGAAGTGGTCTTGGTGCCAGGTCCTTCTAGGGTTAACCCATTGTTTTATAAACATAGCAGTTTCAGAGAAACTGCTATGTTTATCAATGGGTTAAGCCTTCCCCCAAAGCCTCTAGCAGCTGTCTCATTGACAGCCGCTAGAGGCGCTTGCGTGCTTTTCACTGTGAAAATCACAGTGAGAGCACGCAAGCGTCCATAGGAAAGCATTATAAATGCTTTCCTATGCGACCGGCTGAATGCGCGCGCATCTCTTGCCGCACGTGCGCATTCAGCCGACGGGGCGGATCGGAGGAGGAGAGCTCCCCGCCCGGCACTGGAAAAGGGTAAGTTTTAACCCCTTTCCAGAGCCGGGCGGGAGGGGGTCCCTGAGGGTGGGGGCACCCTCAGGGCACTATAGTGCCAGGAAAACGAGTATGTTTTCCTGGCACTATAGTGGTCCTTTAACATACACACTCTGGATCCCCTATACACACACACTAGATTCCTTGTAAGCAAACACATACTACACCCCTAAACACACACACACTATAGCCTGTATGCACACACTTGCTATATCCCCAATACACACATTCTCTACAGCCCATAGCCACATATGCATCACATTACACCACAAACACAACACGACTAAAACCGACCTTATTACACAATACCACACCACGACCAGCTCACTCTACACACACGCAATACCACAAGCAGGCTCCAAACACATGCACAATACTCTTTCCTGGCCTTTTGTCTCCTGGTATCCATTTATAGACACCAGAGACAAGTTACAAGGAAACACAGTGCAAGCATGTTATTAAACTTGCTTGCACTGTGCAGAACAAATACAGGAGTTTTTTCTCATGCTAGAGCTCTTCAGCAGAGCTCTGCGCATGGTCTGCCCTGGAAGAGCATTGAACCAACATGCTCACTTTGAGAGGAGGCGTGTTTGTCATTGGTGATGACAAAACACACCTCCTCTGCCCCGCCCCCTTTTTAGTGGGCCGCTGTGTTAAAAAAATGCCCGGGCCGAATTTTTCTCCCAGTCCGCCCTGGTGCAAGGTTAAAATAAGAGTGCATCTAATCAGGTAAATACTGGTGTCTTAGATACAGTAGGATTGACCCTACAGTAGGGTGGTTTTTCGGGCCAAAGTGACCTTTGCACTACAAATGGCAAGCTTCATTTGATAGATTACCTATATAAGAAAATAAAAAAAAACTATAAAAGATATATTGTAATTTTACTAACCATTCACAAAACACATTGTAAAAAAAACCAACTCCAACTCCCTGTAGAAACTTTAATTTTATTTAAGTTCTCACATAAATCAAAGTTAATAAAGCCACTCTATA